CATTCTTTGTCTGTATGTAAACGACATAATAATTGTAGGTAGCAGTTATCGGATGGTCAAATCTACTAAACACATGTTAAACTCAAGGTTTGACATGAAAGATATGAGACCAGCTAATGTGATTTTAGGGATCAAAATCAAAAGGGTGACTGATGGTCTCATTTTGACTCAGTCACATTACGTAGACAAAATACTTGACAAGTTTAATAGAGATGATTCTGGTATAGCCAGAACTCCTATTGATATTAGTCAACATCTGTCCAAAAATAGAGGAGAAAGCGTATCCCAGATGGAGTATGCTAGAGTGATTGGCAGTCTGATGTACTTAATAAGTTGTACAAGACCATATATTGCCTTCACTGTGAGTAGGTTGAGCAGATTCACGAGTAACCCAGGAGATGACCACTGGAAAGTAATTGTGAGAGTACTGAGGTACTTAAGATATACTCATGACTATGGATTGCATTACACAAGAGAACCTGCTGTTTTAGAAGGATACTCTGACGCAAGTTGGATATCCGATACATAGGATTCTAAGGCTACCAATGGATATGTATTCACCTTGAGTGGTGCAGCTATTTCATGGAAATCCTCTAAGCAAACGGTAATAACTAGATCCACGATGGAAGCTGAGTTCGTCGCTTTGGATAAAAGTGGTGAAGAAGCTGAATGGCTTAGACATTTCTTAGAGGACATTCTGAATTGGTCAAAACCTATACCTGCAATTTGCATACACAGTGATAGCCAATCAGCTATTGATAGAGCACACAATACGATGTATAATGGTAAGTCTAGACATATACGTCATCGACATAATACCATTAGACAACTGATCTCAACAGGAGTCATAGTCGTTGACTATATAAGGTCGAAAGACAATATTACGGATCCGCTGACCAAAAGACTGAATAGAGATCAAGTTGAAAAGATATTGAGAGGAATGGGTTTGAAGCCCATGGAATAAATAGGTTGAAGCAGTGGAAACCCAACCTAGCTGACTGGAGATCCCAAGATCTAGGTTCAATGGGACAACTAAATTATTTAGACCAACTGAGTTTACTGTGGAGGTAACACCAGCCTATTCCTATGATGATAACAGTGAAACCCATACGAGAAGAGGTTAAACATTAGTTTTTAATGATTCTTATGCATAGGATACGTCAGGTATCTGAGCAGAGTAATATGGGTTACTCTTCATTAAGAAATCACCTATGTGAGAGAGAAGTGGGGCCGTTTCAAAGGAGAATTGTGAGGGCTCAATTCTTTAGAAACTCTTGCAGAACCACGTAGATGTTCATGGCCAAAATGTTGTGTGTCTGCAGAGTAACGTTTTCAGATTTTTGAAGCGTCAAGATTTTTGTTTGGGGGGGGGGGGGGCGGAGTCACGGTCCCAGTGGGTTTGGGGCCCAATGTGTGCGCCTGCGGACATGAATGGCGAACTGAAAAACTTGCTCCGTGCAAGCTTACTTTTACAATTATTATTTTTGGTTCAGCCAAGACTTTTCCAGCCGTTTTCCCTAACCTTAATGTTGTGCTTAATGGCTGGTAAATGAGCATAATGGTGATTAAAAGGGGCATAATGGCGTGCTTAATACTGAGCTTAAATGTGAAGTTAAAGGCTGGTTATTGCATCAGTTTTTCCATGAACCTATATGTATTGTAGCCGGGTTCACCTTGGTAAATAGAAATGTTTTTGCACAATGAAAATGTGTGATTAAGACATTTAATTCCTGGTCTCATAACCCCTTTCTCAAGAGCCTATATAAAGGGTCTCCACATGAAGGAGGAGAAGACTCATTTTTTTGAAATCTCTTATCATCTCTCTTGGCTCTTTCTTTTCTGAGTTCTTTGTGCATCTTCTTTTGTAGTCCACTTTTGGTGATAGAGGGAAGGTTCGAGTTCTAATTTGCTAGACGGTTCCGATAGTGCTTCAAGCTACCGTCGTTGTCATTGTATTCTGGGAGATGGACGTCCAACGCTGCCTCAAACACTTGCCGGAGGGGACGAATCTGTTTTAAAGAAAACGTGGTTCACGTGCCTCGACATCCTTATAATTCTATTTCTGAGTTTGGTAGAAAGGTTGAATTAGTGTTCCACAATTTCGTTTCTTTGTTCTTCTATAAGTTATTGTTCTTCATTGTATTATCCATATTATTGCTAACAGATTTAACTCGCTAATAGTCCAATAAGTAAGGTACTCCACTAAAATCAGTATACAATTTTAAGATAATATTATTCAAGAATTTCTTTTGATTGAATGTATGGAATTGATGTTTAGATATGGCCTTGTAACAAGTAAACAGACAGACAAACATTTAATATGCTTAACTAATTGGGGAATTTTGGTTTCTATATCAAATATAAGTCTCTGATTCTAAACCTGTTTCTGATACCATTTAAGAACACCCTTTTGTGACTTTGAATAGATGATAAGTTAATTATCCACCATTCTATTGACTAATCCTTTATTTCCATCATGTTTTCAACGATCCTATTCATTGTCAAATTCTCTTTGTTAGTTAAAAATAGTAGACACGGGTAACTCTCAATCAATTATCCACCAACTATTATCTCGATTAGTCGCTTGTGAGCAGTAAAATCTTTTGGTGCTTGACAGCTTTTCGCAACATAATCGTAAAAATAATTGGACAACTAGTTTTTCCCCACAAATAAAGGCAGAAACAAGATTGGATTAGATTTAGAATTCGAGATGGACAAAATTACAAGATTAAATGAGCTTAATATGTTTTTTTTTTTAATGGAAAAATGAGTTTTAAATTGTTATGTAACAATATGCAGTACTGAAAACATTATTATTATCCCTTGAAAAAATCATTATTGTACTTGTATTGTAGACAACTTATGTTTGTATGTTGTTGGACTTTGAAACAAATCAATATATCAATTTATTAAAATACTAAAGAGATGTTTGATTCATGAATTAAAATTATGTGATTAGAATTATTTTCAATTTACGTGTATTTTTTATAAAAAAAATACTGTAACGAATCATAAATTATAATTTGAATCATCCAACTAAATGTCTCCTAATTCTTTGTGCATGGGTGACAGGGGCACGTGTACATAAACACAATATTTTTGCGTGTAACAAATTTTTGTTTTTTTGCCTCATTTTTCTACAAATTTGATTTGACATGTCCCAGATTGGCAAAACGCTACACATTTAATAAGTCTTTGTGTCCCCCCTAAGTGTATATCACTCTGACGTGTACTTGGATTTTCATAGTTTAATGTCGGTCTCCTTGCCATTCTCGTAGCCAATACTCCATTTTTGTTTTTTCATCTTCTTTAGGCATTAGGAGAATCTCAGAACAAGTCTTGAAGCTTATGATTTTATGTTTAGAACATGACACTTTCCTAATTCCCACTGACCTTTTCCTTTGTTTGAGACAATTTCCATTCAATAATGGAGGACTTGGAAAGTTGGAATAATATATCACTCCACTCCAATAATAGCATTTGCCAAGGATTTGATCTAAAGAAACATAAATTTCTTTGATGGTATTTCTTTATTTTGTGTGGATTATGATCAAGGTAAATAACATAGCAATGGTTTTAGAGTATGTTTGGTAGTGATTTTTGGAGTCCAAAATTAATTCTTTAATCATTTACAGTTAAAATTTGTGTTTAGTAAAAATCATAAAAAATGATTTTTAGAGAATTTTTGAAGAATTTACAGTTAAAATCAGAAACAGCCCAAAAACAACTTTAACTTTTAGATTGTACGGCAATCACCTTGAAGTATAATTAATAAAACTTTTATAATACCTATAATATTTCTAAAATCAATATTTATATAATTACAATTTACCGAACATTAAGCTATTTTTTATAACAGTTATTTTTAACACAACTAACAATAATTTTTCTAAAATTTAGAGTACTATCAAACTGGCCCTTAGTCAAACATTGCAGAGGATAGTGCAAGTAACAGTAAACCAAGCAAGCAAACAAAAGCCTTTTCTAAATTTACAATCATTCAAAAGCATTGATACAATGTATAAAGCCTTTGAGAACAAGTAAATGTAATTAAATGAAATCCTTTGGGACCTAATGCATTTTTCTTTATTGTCCTCTTTTCAACTGTACTAAATTAATCTTACACATACCAAAAGATGTGATAAAGTAGTGACAATTTGTAACGGAAGCCAACATATAGAATAAGTTAAGAGGCCAGCTTAGAAAATTGATTCATTGATTATAAACATAATATAATACAATGTTTTTATAATATGATTTTTCTAATTGTTTAAAAAATTTGGGTATGCTGCCTATGAATTATAGAAGAAAATCTCATGTAATGTAAAGCATGTTAGTTTATCAATCCATCCTAAAAGCTTAAGCTTTTAGGAGGTGGGCTAACAATAGTTTTATACTTTAACACTCCCCCTCAAGTGTGGGCTGGACAATGGGCAATCGTATGGGTAAATTAATTGAAAACCCCAAGACGTGAATATTTAAGCCCGAAATATATAAAGACCCAACACGTGATGATAATTTTAAATGGGGATAAAGAGTGCAATTACGGGAGTTTAAACTCAGAACTTTTTACTCTGATACCATGTTAGTTTACCAATCTATCTTAAAAGCTAACTTTTAAGAAGTGGGTTAATAATAATTTTATACTTTCCGCTCTGATACCATGTTAGTTTACCAATCCATCTTAAAAGCTAACTTTTAAGAAGTGGGTTAATAATAATTTTATACTTTAACACTCCCTCAATTACCTCGTGAGAAATGGATAATGTAAAATATGCACCATACAACAAAAACGGCACGTCGTTTGAAGTTCTGCCCTCATCATCAGCGGAGAGATAAAAAATCAAGAAAAATATCTAAAACAAGAAAATGCCAAAGAGACCGGGGGAAATCCTTTTTCAAATTCCCTTCGGAAAACGGATAAGAAAAAAAGTATACCACACAGCCAAAACGACGTGTCGTTTCCCAAAACCCATAAAAAAAACTCGGGTCATCATCATCAGCGCCAAAAAGAAGAACGGTTGGCCGAGAATGAGAGAGTTCGTGATCGTCGTCTCCTCTTCTTCTTCCTCCATTTCCACTCCTCCAAACCCTTCTCACCACCACCACCACCACCGCCATTTCCGATCCTCCTCCAAGTTCTCTCCCTCCAACCTCCCCTCTCGCTCCTCCGCCGTCCGCTCCGACCTCCGCCACTTCGCGGACTTCGCCGGCGACGCCAAGCTCCGCGACCTCTCTGTCGTTGTCGAGAGCCTCGCCGTCTCCGGCGTCGACGCCTCGCGGCTCAGGTCCGCTCTCCGAGCGGAGCTCGCCTCCGCTGAGAAGGGGATTTCCGCGGTCCTCCGTGACGGAAAGGTTCGGAGCTTCGCCAGGCTGTTGGGGAAATTGGACGAGCTAGGATTTCCTCCGGTGGAGATATTTGATGGCTGGGCTTTGGAGTTGATACGCAGGGAATGTCGCCGCATTTTGAGGTGTGAGCAAGTGGAGGAACTAGTTGAACTCTTTGAGGTACTTTCAGGTAATATTCCTTTTGTTTTCTTGTTAAACATATATATATTTTTTTTGTAATTTTTATGGTTAGCTCAGTTAGTAGTATATAAATCCCTCATTTTGTTGTAGGATTTGGTAAAATCACATTTTTTTTATTCAAGATGTTGTTGTTGTTGTTGTTTTTTTTTTTATTTTTTTTATTTTTTTTAAGGGTTAAATTATGATAATATGTAGTATATAAATCTGTGATTTTGTGTTGAGATTTGGTAAAGTTCACATTTCCATGCTCAAAGATTTCAATTCGGCAAAGCCTTTTATCCTTTTTAGCTGCATTGATAATAGTATTACTAGGTTCTTTGTTTCTGTGTGTATAAGAAGAAAAGTTTCTTTTAATCAGTTATAAGCTAAGCTTATCAAGTTAAAGCTGTTGATTTTTGGGGAAATAACTGGTTAAAAAAAAAAAAAAAAAAAAACTAATGTTGGTATATTTTGATAAATCAAAACATAGAATTTAGTTGCTTGGCATGACACCAACCGGTATGAGTATGAAACACTTATATTAATGGGACAAAGCTTTTAAAATTTTCCTTTATTTGAGGGTTCTTATTTGGTATCTAAGGGTTCATCAGTTTTTTTGTGGTTTTCTTCTTGCACTACATCTGAGGATATCTTATCCTTGGATCATTTGTGTAATAATTCCTATTTATAAATTCTCTTTTCTTATTTTTTTACATACAAAAAAAAAAAAAAAAACAGTATAAGAGCGTCCTTGTTGGAGTGTTTTGGATTCGCTTATTTTTGTATAGTAGATTATTTGCGTTGGGTGACATATGATTACTTGGTTCAGGTTATGGTTTCTCAATCAAAGAATTAGTGAAGCCTTCTGATGTTATCAAGATCTGTGTTGAAAAGAGAAATCCGAAAATGGCCATAAGGTATGATTGGCTATTCTTCAGTGAGTTGGTCCACAGAAGGTTTCCATGTCAGGATGTGCCTTAACTGGACATGTTTGTTTCTGGCGTGACCTAGAATTCAACTTCTATGGGGGAATCCATATAGTATCTGGTTAACTGGTTTGATGCTTTTATGTGTTGCATGTTACAGGTATGCTTGTACTCTACCCCATGCGCATATTATATTTTGTGACGCAGTATATGAGTTTGGAAAGAAAGGGGACTTGGTGTCTGCTCTGATAGCACATGAAGCATCCAAGAAAAACTCTACCAGTACTAATATGTATCTTTATCGCACAATAATTGACGTTTGTGGTCGTTGTCATGACTACCAGAAATCTAGATACATTTATGAGGTATTTGCCACATTCACTGTCTTGTTTCAAATTGGTTTGCTTAGCTGGAATTTCAGATATGGTGTTCATTTTTCACTTTTCCTGTATTCGCCACCGCCTACCTTGAAATTTGCTTGCCTTTAGTTTATTATGTGAATCTAGACACTACTCGTGTTTTTCTCCCTAGATGACAATGCAATCATCCCTAGTACTTTATGTGATCTTGATGCAAAACTAAGATGTAGAGTTTTGTAGTTTTCTTCACTCTTGAATTTTCTAATGCAGGATTTGCTCAATGAGAAAGTCACCCCAAATGTTTACGTATTTAACAGCCTCATGAACGTGAATGCCCATGACTTTAGCTACACATTAAACGTTTACAAGGATATGCAGGTAATACTCTCCCAACCCGCCCCCCCTTCTCGCATGCTGAAACTGTTTTAGGTGACGTGTCTTTCGAATTTAGCCTTTTTTTTTTAATCCTTGGCTTTAGAGCTTCATTTGTACTGAGATTTGCCAAAATCATAATTTTCTCTTCTTGTCTTTCTTAATTCCTGTACGATAGCATCAAGAGAAATATGCTTAATTTACCCCTCTAATTTCCCATTGAAATATCTTTTGCTTAATGTGTATAACAATTTTCTAAAAGCGTAATTTTTTCCGTGCATCCAGTTATCACCCCAATTATATAACCCCAAGTATTTTATACATCCAGAACCTTGGTGTCCAAGCAGATATGGCATCTTACAATATTCTTCTGAAGGCATGCTGTCTTGCTGGAAGAGTTGATTTGGCTCAAGATATCTATAAGGAAGTACAACACCTAGAATCAACAGGATTGTTGAAGTTGGACGTTTTCACATACAGCACTATTGTGAAGGTATCTTTGACCATGGATCTTTATGCATTTGTCTGCTCATGATATATCAGCTGATGTACCCGACTCCTGAACTTCCATGTGGCAAGATATTCCGTAATCAATGCTCCAACTTTCCCAGGTTCTCGCGGATGCAAAATTGTGGCAAATGGCTCTAAAAGTCAAAGAAGACATGCTATCAGCTGGTGTAAATCCCAATACAGTTACATGGTCGTCATTGATCAGTGCCTGTGCAAATGCAGGTATTGTGGATAAGGCAGTCCAATTATTTGAAGAGATGCTTCTGGCTGGCTGCAAACCTAACACGCAGTGTTGTAATATCCTTCTACATGCATGCGTTGAGGCTTGCCAGTATGACAGGGCTTTCCGTCTTTTCGAGTTTTTGAAAAGAAATAGAGTCCAGGAGACTTCTGAAGAAGATGGCAGAGGAGACAGGGATAGCAATCAAAGTGCAGGAGTTACTAGTATCTCTCAATCATCTACTTTATGTGGTTTAAACTTTGCCAGAGAGCTTCCTTTTACACCCACAACTACGACATACAATATCTTAATGAAGGCCTGTGGTTCCGATTACTACCATGCAAAAGCTTTGATAGAGGAGATGGAAGCAGTAGGCCTTTCTCCTAATCAAATAACGTGGTCTATATTGATTGATATTTGTGGAGACTTGGGCAATGTAGAAGGTGCGCTACAGGTAGTTTGTTGATTGAACCCGATATTGACATTCAATTTTCTTTTTGCATTTTCCATTGTCTTTCATATTTCTTATGTGCTGGTTGGATTAGGAATGAAGATTCAGATTCAAGTCTTCCCTTGTGGTCCTTGCATTTGGGCATAAATTCAATGATATTATCCATTATGTGTGGCTTTAGTGTGAGCAACTCATATTATGCACCCCCTCTTTATCTCTTATGTCCGTTTCCCAAACAATATGCGTTTACTTGGAAAGAATTACGAACTGAAGCTTCCATGGGAAAGAGGAAGGATTTAATGTTCATTTGCAAAGAGCATCCTACCTATAATTCATTGGTGTAGTTTACTATTTATCATGTTTGAGTTTCTTGGCTGTAATTTTCGTTCTCCCGCGTAACTTAACAAGTTTATTTCAATGCAGATTTTAAAAACTATGCGTGCAACTGGAATTGAACCTGATGTGGTCGCATATACTACAGTTATAAAGGTGTTAAGCTATATGCTATAATGGTTGTGCCCGTTATTTATGGTTATTTAAGATAGCTGGATGCTACTTTGTATTAACTTAAATATACCCTCCTATATCTTTGACACATAATGCTCTTTTATTGATAGGTTTGCGTGGAAAGTAAAGATTTGAAGCAAGCATTTGAATTATTTGCTGAAATGAAAAGATATCAGATACAACCAAACCTGGTGCGAGCCAAATCTGGTGTACCACGTACAATTCTACTATAAACTGAGAGAAAGAATGAATTCCAGGTTGACGCTCTTTTTTGTTTTTAGGTGACATATAATACGCTTCTAAGGGCACGCAACAGATATGGTTCTCTACAAGAAGTAAAGCAGTGCCTGGCAGTATATCAGGATATGCGAAGAGCAGGGTATGTCCGCAATCAGATGAACATGATCCTTTTTCAATAATAACTTTAGCAAAAGAAAAGGGAAAGTGTGCCCTTAGTTTTACTAGTTAGCTTTCTGATGCTTCCATATTTCTCCCTTGGTCATTTTTGTAAGTGTTTATATTGCTTTATTGAGTATTGCCCTGTTTTGTGTCACTTTTAATAACTTAATTACACGTTCTCTTTATCCTGCTAATGAAACTTGTTTATCACAGGTATAACTCCAATGATTATTATCTCAAGCAACTTATAGAGGAGTGGTGTGAAGGAGTAATACAAGGCAACAATCAGAACCGGGAAGAGTCCAGTTCCTTTAACAAGACAGACAAAAAGAGACCTCAAAGTTTACTGCTTGAGAAAGTTGCTGAACACTTGGAAAAGCATATTGCTGAAACCCTAACTGTTGACGTTCAAGGGCTTAAAAAGGTATGCAAATAGTATAAGTCAGTGAGCTTTAAAAGCGTTGTTAAAAGCCAAGCATGACTCTGAGCATTTTGTTGAAGCATGACTTGGGTATTGTTGTACTAATAACTTTCTATTACGCTTTGCATTAAGATGCCACTTTTCTATGTTGTCAAAGTTCTCTGTTCTCTGACGCAATTTGCTAACAGGTCGAAGCTCGGATTGTCGTTCTTGCTGTCCTCCGAATGGTCAAAGAGAACTATACTATGGGTATGAAATTATGAATGGATTCTTCTCAAGGCATTGCATTATTAACAAAGAGACAAATGCATGTTACTATTGAGAACTGTGTGATGTAAAGTAAAACTCTGGCGAGAACGTTGCAAGGAGATAAACTAGCACTTAAACCGAACATGAAAACTTACCCCAACTTATATCTTTCATCACACAACTGATGGGGTTGTTGCATCTTTATCTTTCATGAAGTTGACAACGAAGTTAAAATGATTTGTGATGACAGGATATTTGGTGAAAGACGACATGCTTATCATCATCGGAGCTTGTAAGGTTGACGCAGTTCCAGATGAACAAGAACTAGAGGTGAAAGATGCAATAACTAAACTTCTGAAGGATGAATTGGGGCTAGAGGTTCTCTCAACAGGACTAAAAATCGAACCTAATAGACAAGTGGACTCGGATAGCTTAGGATCAAGTGATTTTTCTGGGGAGATGAAATATTCCACGAGAAGACCTGTGGTTATACAGAGGTTAAAGGTCACAAAGGAATCATTGCAACATTGGTTGCAGAGAAAAATTTCCCTTTTAAGGAATCATTACACCACTTGAAAATTTTGTAAAAGATGCATGTGCTAGCCATTTTTCTCTTTTATATATATATATATATATATATATGTATTTAGTCATTCCTGTACCAGATTAAAATGTAACCATTCATAGGCCATTTATAGAACATTCATATTGTAAATTGCTGGACAAAAATGAAATAAAATTTATCAATTTGTCTCATTGATTACAATTCTTTTTTTTTTTTCCCCCCTTACATTAGTATGGTTGCAAACTTGCAACAAATGATGTGCGTAGCCTGATCCAGTCTTGAATGTTATTATATTTAAGGAACTCAACTTATCAACTCTTTAGCAATTTAACATCAATGTCTGCAAACCATTACGGTTCAATGTCAATGGCCCACTAAACCTAAAACTGAAATAATTAAATAAACACAAAATGTTTTGATGATTCATGCAATGAAAGATACATCAGCATAACAACACTTTTGCGTCGCTTCAACAATCATCCAATCTTTACATGACTTGGCATTACAGAAACATGTTTACAAGTGATAAACCACAGCCCTCTCTCACTAATCCAGTCATGTAAGTTAAAGAACTTTCAAGTGTATTCCATAATAGAAGATAAATAAAAAGTTTTTCCTTTTGTGTCATTGATTCAAGTTTTCTTGGAGCTTACTCACTAATCCAGTTCTTTGCTTGTCCCCTGTTATGATATATATATATATATATATGTATATATATATATATATACACACATACATATATATATATATATATATATATATTGAAACTAGAGGTTGGCGATACGAACCCTATACTGTGGTGGAGTCAGGTGTGAAATCACCGCTAGGCTATGCCTGCAACTACTTCCCCTGTTATGATTGCAAATGATATTTGTTTACAGCCAGATTCAGTCTTAATATTTAGAACATTTGAAAACAATGTAGCTTAGAAACACTTTAGCAACTTGACATTATCTGCAAATGATTATGGTTTAATCATTAATGAGAGTGCACTGAGCATTAGTAATGAATCCTAAAAGTGATAAAAACACTGAGCATTAGCAAAACCAAACAGACTAAACTCAAAATGTTGCTATTATTCATTTAAGAGCAGATACATTAACATAAGAACAGTTTGGCATCAGTTAAGCAAAATGAACTAGTCATTACATGACTTACCAACAATAAGTAAAAAAATTCACAGCCCTCAAAGCCAATCTTGTTGCTGCAACTTCAGTGGCAAATAGACCTCAGACAGGTACTGGAACCCAAATGAGCTCAGCGCCTGAATTTCTGCCTTCTTCTTAGTCTTCACCATCAAAGTCAGCTCCTCAACCCACCCTGGATTCTTCTTCACAAAGTCCTCCTCCAACAAATCCTTCCCTGTCTTAATATCCTGCTCGGTCATTGGCAGCCTGCACTGCTCCGGTATCTTATACTTGTCCAAATCGCTCGGCCTGATCCCTAACCACTTGATATCTGGTGTGGTCAAGTTTGCACTGTCATACGACATGTTCTTCGATCCACAACCATAAACTGACAAGATCTTCAACCCGTATGGATCACTATCCATAAGAGCAAGCACCGGGAGCTTGAGCTCCATCTTCATCTTCCTCAAGAACAGTCTCGTCGCTACATCTGGCTGCCCCTTTGCCGTCACAATTATGCAAGGAAACCGATTGTAGAACCTATCCTCAGCCAACCTAATGTAAGCAGCATCCTTCTCAACCAACAGAATGAACAGTGCATCACTCTGCATATCCCCAACCCGATCGATATTCGGCGGGATCGCCTTCCCACCCATTCCCATCTTAGTACAATCAATCATATCACCATTATCACTGAAAATCAAACGCCCCACAACCACACCTTTCTCGGCAGCAATAACATTGAGGCTCGAACGAGTACAACCAAGCATACAGGAGACATCATCGAGGACCGTATCAGACTGTGTCTGGTCCTGAAACCCAAGCATAAAAACATCTCAGTGTTCATGTAAATATTAATGCTTTAAATTTAAGTATAACTCAACAAAACTATCGAAAAATTTCAGCAAAAATTGTCGTTAGATATTTCATTTTCTCAAAAATATATTAGTACGATCTGACTAAATTATTGCTCAGAAGAAGAGAGGAAAATCCAAGAGTACGTTAGGGAACATATATAAAGAAACTATCAAAAACCTTTCTAATCCTGTTGGTTTCTTTGGTTTAATTATTTGCCCAAATTTAAGCAGACTTTGCATCCAAAAGCACTGAGAAATGGGTGTGTGTGTGTGTGTGTGTGTGTGTATGGACATGGATTACCTGGAAGAGCTTGACGTCGGTGTAGAAGAGGTCACGCTTGGTGACATGGATGTTCTTGAGGCAAAGCTGGTGGACGAGCTGGAGGATCCTGGTGGTAATGGAGGTCTTCCGTACGGTGGAGATGTTGGCGTAAGGGCGGAGAGAGGACTTGTCTTTGAGGACGATCCGGTCGAGCTCGGGGACGTAGAGCTGGTTCGCGGCGCCGCGTGAGGGGACGGAGAAGGAGAAGCCTTCGCCGGCGAGGATGGAGCGGGCGATGGAGAGGACGAGGGACTCGATCGAGCACTGGACGGAGGCCAGAGAGAGGTCGGTGACCTCGCGGCAGGCGTTGGCGAGGGAGAGGTCGTTTAGGGTTAGGGTTTTGGAGGAGGACGAGGAAGAGGAGCGGAGGGAGGCGGTGATGCCTTCGAGGGTTTTGATAATGGCGGCGTCGGGCTTCAGGCGGTTCTTGAAAGGGATGTGGACTTCACCGTCGTCGTCGGAGCTCAGGTCCGGTCGGCGGCGCTTCCTCTTGTCAGCCATGGAGGAGAGAGAAATGGAGGTGAAGACTGAAGAGTAAAGGAGGGAAAGA